GCAGATATTGACAATATTGATCTAACAACAATTTTAAACCATCAAAAAAATAACCCATCCATCAATTTAGCTGGAAATCTTGTTAAGGCGACAAAATGTTGATTTGAATGTCATTTTGACTACTAGATTTGGTGACTCTAATAGTAACCCCGTGGGTTATTATTAGAGTAGTTGGTTATGATTATCATATTAACTTCTGGTGTGGGTTGCTATTAGTGGGGGGGGGGGGGGATACTAATAGTGTAATGAATTATTATTTCACGGTAAATATTGTGATCTTGATTCGTAGTAACAGTTAACGTTATTTATTATTCAAATTTATTTAATCAGGATAAAATCACATTCAATAAAGACAGATTAAAATACAAGAAGGAAAGAGTAAGCCTGCATTGTTATTACAGTATTCTGGACAAAGTGTAAAGCTTTCGAGATGTAAAAAGGCCAACTCTGGCAGCGTCGTACGACGCAGCCTGGTGCATGCGATTTACCGTCGGGCGGGACAGCCTTTATGTCGTCTTAAGAATATTAAACATGTATAATATTCTTCGGCGTACGCCTGAGTTTATTTTATTTTATTTTTATTTCAACAATATTTTGTGAGGGTGGTCCATCCAGCCTGAACTGATCAATTGGGACCCTCAGTACATACAATTAAAACATAAGTATAAAAATTAAACTTGATCTTTAACATAAGCAAATTAATTAAATTAAACCAGGAAAAAAAAAAATAATAATAATAAAAATCAGGAAAAAAAAATATAGGCCTACAGTTGGCTTAACTCATAGGATAAGTTTAATTTCTTTTGATCTGGATGACAATCATTGCTCTTATTTATAGTATAGTATGTTGTTTTTTGCCATGTGTATTCTGACAATAATTTCAGAATTTATTGAAATTGGAGAATGTTCAGTGAACAGTTTCTTATCATACGCCTACATGGACGGATATTCTCCGGTTCTCTGGATAACATAAGGAGTTGTGTGGTGTAGACGCTCTTAATACTATGGCTATGTTCAGACCGAGTACATTAATCCAAGGCGTAACTACCAAGTTCACGCCACACGACTAGCGTAACTTGTCGTGTCTGAACATAGCATAATTATGTTACCTCGATGTGTGTGGACACTCAATCGACACAGTTATTTAGAAATTGTTACCAAATTTAACGGGACGAGCTTGAGTCGTGTAGATATAGCTTATATTAAAGGAAACTTCTAAATTCGTTTTTCCCCCTTCTTTATGTTCTGTGCAAACGTAAGCATCATCATCACCATCATCATCATCATCATCATCATCATCACCATCATCATCATCATCATCACCATCATCATCATCATCATCATCATCACCATCATCATCATCACCATCATCATCATCATTATCATCACCACCACCATCATCATCATCATCATCATCATCATCAAGTAACGTCATCATCATAAGCATATCGAAGACATTTGTGCGGCTTAATTGCTCTGTAGGTCACTAATACAAACAGTAGGATTGTAGTACAGCCTTGTTTTATTTATTATAATGTCATTGGTATGTTATTTATACCTGATCTTGTTAATTTGAATTTTTATCGTTGTGATTTCATTATCGTTTTTTCAATCCAGACTCCAAATGCAGGGAAAATTTGGCAAGATAATTAGAGGTCCAGGGAAGAATCTAAAGTATAATTTAAT